TGTCATTATTATCATCATCATTATCAATATCACTACTTTTATGATCATTATTATTATCATCGCTATTGTTATTATTATTATTATTATTATTATTATTATTATTATTATTATTATTATTATTATTATTATTATCATTATTATTATTATATTATCATTATTATCATTAATATTATCATTATTATTATTATTATCTTCATTATCATTATCATTATTTTTAATAATATCCTTTATACCATCATTAATCATGGTTGTTATCATGATCATTATCATTTTCATTACTATTATCATTGTTATTATTATCATTACTATTATTATCATTAATAACAAAATAATTATCAATATTTTTTATCTTATTACTATTTTTATTATTGTTATTATCATTGTCATTCTTTCCTCATGGCCATTATTATTATCATTACGTTCATCGCTGTTGGAAGTTACATTCATCACACGATGGGATATGCGAATATATCTATCAACGTTCAAATAGAAGAACCTCCTTTTGCCTAAGTATACTAAGCCCTCAGTGGTATAATTTCACACTTGAAGGACACATTGTGATATTCATTTACCTTATGAAGACATCCTCTTTACCAGTGTCTTAAGAAGTGTTGGTGTGATGTTCTGTGCAGGAAGAATGAACAGGAAAGATGCTGTATTGTGTGACGGGTTGGTGCAGCATTGTCCTGTGCCGATGCTGCTTCGAGAAAGATGAGGATGAAGTGTTGATGCTGCAGTGTTGGTAGCTGAGGCTCGTGTCCAAAAGGGAGATTGTAGGAGAGAGAAAAGGGGAAGAAAAAGGATAAGAAAGGGAAAGTGTTTGTGGAATCGAGACAGAAGTAGAGGCGCTGCAGTCGGATGTACAAAAACGACTTTCGTTATTTCTTCCTTCCTCTATCTTACTCGTTCCAAACCCATACTTTCTTCCTTTTTACCTTTTTTCTCCTTCGATTTCTGCCTCTTCACCTTCTTCCTTTTTTTCTTCTCTTTATTCCTTCGATTTCTGCCTCTTCACCTTCTTCCTTCTTTTCCTTCGATTTCTGCCTCTTCACCTTCCTTCCTTCTTATCTTTCTCTTTTTTTTCTTTCTTCTTTTTTCGATTCTATTCCTTTCTTCCTTCCTTGCTTCCTCTCTTACTTCATTCCCACCTTCCTCCATCACTGTCTTTTCTCTCTTTTCTCCATCGACGAGCGAAAGCAAGATGGAAAGGCGCAATTCGATGTTCGCTTGTTCGCTCGTTGGCGGTAAAGAGGTTGTTTACAAACTCACGGCGTCTGTGAACTGCGAAATAGTACGCTGTCTTTTTCTAGTGAATGAAGCCTTAGCTATCCATACAAACGGAAACGTATGTGTCTGGTCTGTTATTTTAGAAAAATCCAAACAAAGAAAAGAAAAAATATCTGCAGCCACAATACTACTAAGAAAGTAAGAAGAAAAAACGAAGGAAATGTAAATCCGTGAGAAAAGATTAGTCATAAGGCTTTTTAAAACAGCTGGATATTTTACCTACGCTTATCAGGATTCTACAAGATATTTATCACTGTCTATGTGTGTCTTCTAGTATACTCAGCAATGTCAATTCTGATGTGCAAAGTAACATCCTATTTCAGTGTTGTGTATGTAAACGTGTGTTCCTGTGTGTGTTAGACTGTATACACAAGTGTCTCGCAGCATTAAGCAGTGTAATTAATATTTGTAAAGTTCGTACGTGTGGAAATAGGAAGAAATGTAAAGAAATTGGTAAAAGTAAGAAACAAAAAGAAAAAAGGATTTTCTCAATTGAAGTGTTTTATCTCCTGGATGTTTTTTTTTTTTATTATTATTTTTTTTTTTCATTTGTGTGTATCTTTTCGAAAATGTTCAGAAGTTGCCAAGAATTCGAAGCGTCTCTCAACTCCTCGGTAATTCCATCTAGATATCCATTTATTGATCAAATGATTATCATTAATTGAGGAAGAGTATGAATGAGAATTAAAAAAAAAACGATAAATAGTTTTAGAATTTCAACAGTACAATCTTTTATTTAGGAGCGAGATTTAATCCTGTGACTACCACTGGATTCCCTGTATCCCACTGATAGACATTCTGAAAGTGCTAGTGTTTGGAAAAAAAAAGAAAACAATCGTGTGTTTTTGTTCTGAGGTTAAGAGAGGTCCAGCTCCTCCCCAGTGCCAGTAATGCTAAAAGTGATGATCAAAACAGCCGAGGCACTCAGGGTCACAGTAGTGCCAGTAGCCTTTCGTTGAAAGGGGTAAACTGATGATCAAAAAAGAAAGTAAAAAAAAAATAAAATAAAAAAAATAAAACGAACGCAGAAAAAAAGAAAGTAAAAAAAGTGAGCGCTCTCCCCCTTCGAAAAGAGAGTGTAGCAAAACAAAACAAAAATCCAAATGGAAAGTGTAAGTGAATTTGCCAGCCCAAACCCCCGGTTCTGTGGCCCGCGACGACAGAACCCACAGAGACCCCAGAGACCCCAGAGACCCCAGCATCATAATGTAGCGTAGAGACTCGGTTCGGTTGATTGCTTTACAGATATGGCCCAACCCCTTCATTTGAGAAAGGTTCATTTATCATGTAATACCTTGTAAGTTACTGTTGTAGGAATTCCAGATATATTTGTATGTCGTAAGTAAATGATTTGTCTCCCTAGGTTTAATATTGATATATTGACGATTAGTATTATTTATGTATGGGTTTATTTATTGTATTTATTGAATCTGTTGCGTCACGACAGTGTACCAAAGAATGCGTTACTTTGCGAAGGACGTTTGTTACTTTAAGGTCAGCCAACCAAAGAATAAAAGTATATAGCCCTTTATCCCTCTTGACCTTTGCCCCCTCGCCCTTCCTTCTCATTCTCTCCGCCTCTCGCTTTTTTTATTCCCTTTCCATCTCTCTCTCTCTCTCTCTCTCTCTCTCTCTCTCTCTCTCTCTCTCTCTCTCTCTCTCTCTCTCTCTCTCTCTCTCTCTCTCTCTCTCTCTCTCTCTCTCTCTCTCTCTCTCTCTCTCTCTCTCTCTCTCTCTCTCTCTCTCTCTCTCTCTCTCTCTCTCTCTCTCTCTCTCTCTCTGTGATTTCCCTTTACGACTCGAGTCCCGCTTCTGCCGCCTCTGAGCCCTCCCTAAAGCCCCTGTCGGAGGCTTTCCTCGGGTTCCTCCTCTCGCGGGAAGGGCGCTCGCTCTCGGCTTCTTTCCTCCTCGCTTTTTCCACACACAACACACACACACACACACACACACACACACACACACACACACACACACACACACACACACACACACACACACACACACACACACACAACACACACACACACACACACACACACACACACACACACACACACACACACACACACACACACTCACACACACAAACCAGTCCACTACTTTCCCCGTTTCATTCTGTCTCTCCATCAATACTCTCAAAGAAGTGACACACAACCTCTTTCTCACTTCACTCTTATCTATTCTTTTAACCTAAATTATCTCTTTTTCATTTCCATACAACCAATTCCTCACTTCCCTCTTATCCATTTTTATCTGCATTATCTCTTTTTCATTTCATTCTTCACTGTTCAATGTCCTACAGGTATGTATGGGTGTATGGTAGCGCCGCACACAGTCAGTTATGTATAAAACTGGATGCGCGCCCTCTGTGAAACGTTGTATATGGCTCAAGAAGCAGTACTGTTAAATAGCGAGGTCTTTCATTACCCTCGTAATATTAAGTAATCAATCGATCACGTAAAAAAATAAAAATAAATAAAATAAATAAATAAATAAAAAATAAAAGTAATGATAATAATGATGATGATAGTGATAAGAAACGGAATGATAATAATATAATAAAGATAACAGTTGTAATAATAATGATAGTAGTAAGGATAATGATAACAAATAAACTGAAACAGAAATAGAAAATAGGAGAGAAAAGGAACTAATGAAACAATTGTTGATCTCGAAGTTATAAGAAGATGAAATGACTATAATCGTATTGTTGGTAGTAAGAGCAATGAAAGCAATGGCAACAATTGCAATAAAGGAATGATGATTGGTAAATTGGGGATGGTGGTAATGGTAATAACAGTAATGATAATATTGATAATGATAATGATGTTGATAGTAATAATGATAATGATAGTAATAATTTCAATGAGAATAAGGATAAGATTAATAAAAAAAGCAATAGTAATGATAATGCTAATAATTGCAATGAGAATGAGGATAAAATTGATAAAGAAAAACAATAATAATGATAATGATTATGAAAGTAAGAACAATAATGAATAATAATGATAATAGTGATAATAACAATCAAAATATTAGTGATTATTGTGATAACACTATTAATGATAATAATGGTAAAGCAGTATTGACTGCGATAAATGTAAAAAAAAATATATGAATGATGGTGAACATCATAACACAAGAGATAACTTTAAGCAGCTTCGAATATATCGTGCATGTATTTCTGACGAAGATGTATTCGAACCCAATCTCTTTTACTCATTCATACCTTTTCTATATGATAATGACAATAGAAATATCAGTAATAGTAATGATGATATTAACAATAGTGATGATTATAATAGTAGTATTGATAATGACACTATTGTTACTACTACCGTTATTATAACTGTTGTTGCCATTATCATTATTATTATCATCATCATCATTATCATTATTACTGATGATAATAATGATGATGAGGATGATGCTAATAATGATAATGATGATAATAATAATAATAATGATAATACTAACAATTATAGGAATAGTGATAACAGTAATAATAATGGCACTTTCAAAAATGATTATGATCACAATAATGAGAATAATAACAATCACTATCATCAGCATTACAACAATAATCATATCGTTGATAGTTTTACTGATAACAGAAATGACGAATGTGGCATATGAGATACTAATGATAATGGAACACACACAAAAAAGCCACAACAAAAAACTATAAGCCTATTTAAGGATAATAAAACTTATTTCAACTTCGAGTGTCATTTTGAAATCATTGCAAATTAACATTTTTTTTTTCATCCTGGTGTTTTGAAAGAAAAATTTGCCAGCTTCATGTTTCAAAATTTCGAAATCAATTTTGGTTGTCCTTCGTTCGAGGATTGTAATACCTGTTGAAAAAGAAAATTGAAATAGAATGAAATAGATAAATAAGAAAATTCGACTCATAGAATAATAGAAAAATTCAAACAGAAATTTAAAAAGATTTGTGAAGGTTGGTGGTACAGAAAGAGGATAGAGATTTAATATATATATATAATATCAAAATGATCCATTTAATTGTCTCATAGACTATGAACATTAATAAGCATTATCTATAGTGATAAAAAATAACAAGTAGGAGAATTATTGAGAGCAATACAAATAAAAAATAACGAATAACGAAATATCGAAAGTGTTAAGAAAAGAAGGAGACGAAATACAAACGAAGCAATATATACATATATATATATATATATATATATATATATATATATATATATAATTATATATATATATATATATATATATAATAATAATAATAATTAATAATAATAATAATAATAATAATAATTGTAAAAAGTACAAAAAGAAGGAAAAAGGGAAAGGAAGCAAAAACGACGATCAACGGAAAAAGGAAAATCAAAAAGTAAAAAAGGAAAAGACAACAACAAAAAGAAAAAAAAAAAAAAAAAAAAAAAAAAAAAAAAAAAAACATATATAAATATATAAACACGAAAGCAACAAAAAATCCATAAAACAAGAAAAAAAGCTAATCAGACCCAAACCAATCGAACGAACACAAACTCGAAACGGAAGCCGGAGCCAAAAGCCCCTCACCTGGACGCCTGCTGAGCCATCTCGTCCGCCTGGATCTTCAGGGCCGCCCATTCCTCCACCACAGTCCCCAGGTTGTGGTAGACCCACCGTGCGGACTCCTGGTCGACGTGGCGCTGGTACAGAGGACAGAAACTCGCGCAGGAACCATCTTCAGGTTTGTCGGGGTGGACTTGGTTGCACTTCTCCTGGTGGCCTGAGACGTGGTCCGTGATCTGTGGGCGTGAGGGCGCGGTAGATGCGGGGTGGGTGGGTTGAAATGCATGCGGCTGTGTAGGTATGCGGTTAAACACGCGCGGACGGAAATGTGTATCCGTTTATCTCTTTGTATCCATATTCGTGTATGGAATCGCCGCGTCCCTCTTTCGACTCATAGACGCTCTATATTTTT